TCTCTCTCTCTCTCTCTCTCTCTCTCTCTCTCTCTCTCTCACACACACACACACACACACACACACACACACACACGCACACACACACACAAAAAGGGGGTCGGTATCCCCCGACAGGTGAGTGCGCTGGGGGGGGCCGGCCCCCAACCGGGTGCCCTGCCCGACCAGGCCGCCCGGGACCTCCCCCGCGCCCCTGCCGGTCACCCGGGCGGTCCGGATCCCCACTCAGTTTTTTTTGTTGGGGGCACTATTTATTTGTTTTAGGGTTTTGGTCCAGACAACATGTAGCTGCATTTCTATTGTATGCTTTATTGTGATGAGTGGGTTCTCGGGTGTGATAGGACTATCGCCAAAGGTTAGTTCACACCTTCTTTTCCATAGGCCCCAGACGATTCCCTTCTTGATAAGCATGAAGAAGAAAGCTTCGAAGCCTTTGAGGGGCGGGTTTTGATCTGTGTGGAGAAAAATTGTGGTGGGGCTTATCGTGACGGGCTTGTTAGAGAAGGATTTCCATATGGTTTCCATCTCTTGCCATATGATTCTGGCTTTTGGGCAATTGATGAAGCAGTGCTCGAGTGTTTCCGGTCTTTGTTGGTTGCAGACTTTGCACCAAGAGTCTTGGTCTGTTCGGTTTGTCTTATTGCGCCTTTGTGCCAACCAGTGGTTGACTTGTCCTGCCCTGTATGCAATTGACCAAAGTAGACTGGCTAGTTTGACCGGTTTAGTGCAGAAGATAGATGACCAGGGTATGGTTATTTGTGGGTCTGTTATAGTGGGTTCTTCTTCTGTCCATATTTTTGCAGGATATTGGTTATTGAGATGGGTTTGGAAAAGAGATTGTAGCCGAGTCTTGGGGTGTGGTCAGTTATTTCGTGGAGCCGTGGTATCGTGGCTCTACGGATGGGGGTGCTCCAGATCCATTCTGGCAGATCTATTTCGAGTTGTTGTATACTTGACTGTGGTTTGAAAACCCTGTTTCTTTCCCCTTCAATAACTCTTACTCTTCGCAGGGTGCTTGTTTTGAAGGTACCTTCTGCTCTGCATTCTGTGTTAAGGAAACTTGCTGGGTTCCCTGGTTCCTTGAGAGGAAAAATGTCGCAACAGATCCAGTTGTTATTCTGGTTTTCATAGTTTTTGAATCTGAGAACTTCCTGTACTTTTCCCGAGTCATTTATCGAGGCCCAGTCTCCGTATTGCCATCTCTGTTCCGATCGTAGTACGCATCTCCATTGCATGGGGATGCTTTCTATGATCTGATTAATGTTCGTTTGCAGGTGATGTAGACCCTTCAGGGTTGGCCTGAGTTCCTTCTCAGATTTCCATTCATTTGCTGTCTCGTTCCAGATATGTTGGATCTGCCATACTCCTCTTTCTACCCAATGTCCCCATTTGGCCTCTGATTTGGAGAGAGAGAAGCTTGTTCCTTTCTCATTTTTGATCCAGGGGTTGTCTTAAGACTTCGTCTCTCCTTTTGGGGCCCGATCTGTTTTCTGGAAATATGTTTCTCCAGCTGCGTAGGATCTGGACCCAGTGGGATTTTGAAGGTTCTGGATCGTGGATATCTACCTGTATTGAATTGGGGGTGTGCTTTCTTTTGTCTATGGGGAGTGCCCAATGTTTGTCAAAGATCCAAAAGAGACCTGTCATGTTCTTGGGAGATTTGAAAGGGGCTATTTCCCTGATGTGGTTCAGGGCTAAGGGTGTCCACTGGAGGTGGTCTTGGAGGGAAATTCTAAGGATCCATTTGATTTGGAGGGCCTGGATTTGTCGAGATGGGTCTATGACACCAAGGCCACCCTTGGATTAGGGTTCGGTGATTGTTTGCCAGGCTACCTTGTGGATGAAGTGGTTGTTGTCTGGGTTGCCTGTCCATAGAAAAGCTGTTGCCTTTTTCCTAATTTGGCTTTGGAAACTGTCAGATGGGAACCAAATAGAGGTGTTATACCACATCATGGCTAGAATTGAGTTGTTCAATGCTATAACTTTTCCTAGTAGTGATGTGTGGATTCCTTTCCACGTGTGCATTCTGTTGATCATGGAAGATAATAGGGACGCTGCTGATGCTTTGTGGCAACCTTCCGTGTTGAGATTAATACCTAGGAAACGGAAGGGAGCGGATGGATCCGCCCAAAGCATTCCTTCGGGTGTGAGTTCAATGGGCGGCGGGGAGTCAGCTAGACACCAGCCTATTGTTTTTTTCCAGTTCAATTTCATTTCGGAGGCCAGTTGGAATGCTTGCATAGCTTTTGTTAGGGCTTGAAATGATGAATTGGATGCTCTAATAAGGAACGCTAATCGATGTTCTCTGTATCGTTCCAATTTTAATGGATGCCTCGGAGGACAAATAAGTTCTAGCACACAGTGCCGACAGAGTTCTGACAAACAGTTTCGACAGAGTTATGACAAACAATTTCAACAGAGTTCTGAGGAACAGTTTCAACAGAGTTCTGACAGACTTTTTCAGCATCTAGATACTGACAGACAGTTCTGACAGATTTTGACAGAGTTCTCACCAGACAGCTCACTGTGGCTTACCTCATTAGTCGACTGCTGATCCGAGATATCAGTGTCCACATCATACAGCTGGATCTGCAGAACTTGAACCCGCGAAAACATGTAGATAATTCTAATCATCTTTACAAACCTTGGTTCTGGATGGCAACACAGATAGCCGACATGATAAAAATAGAGTGTGTCAGCAGAGTAACAGACAGGCCAATATAGTAACATCCCCCTTTCCAACCAGCAAACACAACAAATGGGATCATTCGTCCACTCAAACAACTTTCTTCCACTCCCTGACAAGCAAAGTAAGTCAAGTAAAACCCATTTACTGGACCACAAAATGACATAACAACAAAGCGCAGAAAAGAGAGAGAGAGAGAGAGAGAGAGAGAGAGAGAGAGAGAGAGAGAGACCGAAGGATGGACGAACAGACGGATGGACAGACAGACTGACCGACCAATGGACCGACAAATGGACCGGCCGACAGAACGACCGACAGGCAGACAGACCGACGGAGACAGACAGACAAACAGAGAGACACTGACAGCCANAGAGAGAGAGAGAGAGAGAGAGAGAGAGAGAGAGAGAGAGAGAGAGAGAGAGAGAGAGAGGGGCAGACAGACAGCGACAGAGAGAGAGAGAGAGAGAGAGAGAGAGAGAGAGAGAGAGGGAGAGAGAGTCAGGGAGAAAGAGAGACATAGACAGAGAGGTGTACACACATACCCTTTGATTCATGGCTCACAAACTTGAAACTGTAAACGGTGGGTCAGGCACAAAGCAATTCCTCAGCCTGGCACCTGCCAGTCTGGGCGGCTGCCGCGCTGTACCACACCAAATGACACAGCTAGCAATTTTCGGACTACATTCATTCAAAACGAGCAAAACCCATCGGCAATTATTTTGGTGCGTGAGATCTATCAAAAAAAGGAGTACTCTAAGGGGTCCTGCACAAACACTCTGTTACAGCTGCCCCTCTTTAACAAGAATCAGAATCTCATGCAGCAGCTCAGGGAAAAAGAAAAAAAAAAAAAGCACTGATGCAGCAGCAATGTAAATCAACCCACCTGTGGTGTTGGCAATGACCTCAGTCCGCCCTACTTCTCGCCATGCTCCGTTCACTTGCTTTTCCCGCAGAACAGCAATCGGATCACTCTTCGAAAAAGTGTCTAAATTTACAATTCCCGATGCACTAATCGACAAATCAATCTGGTTGGACAACAAACAGATGCATTAGATAGATTAAATAGATTCGATAGGTTAGATAAAATTAATTAAAGGGATTAGAGATAGATTAGACCGATTAGATAGACATAGATTAGATAGATTAGAAATTAGATTAGATAGATTAGATATTAGATTAGACAGATGAGATAGATTAGATAGATAGATTAGATAAGATTACGAAAAGGCATTCCACGATGCAGACCCCCAAATTCAAATCTCAGGGTCAAGCCCCCAGGCCAAAAGAGGCCAGATCGGCCCTGTTTGAGAAAGGTTACGTTGGGTACCCCAGAGGTGAAGTCCAACAGGTACCCAATCAATAGTCACATCCAAGTGGCAAAAGCCACATCCCATAGGCAAAAGTCACGTCTTACAGTCGGAAGTCGTGCCCCACAGGCAAGAGTCGCATCTCGCAGTCAAAAAATCATATTCCACAGGCAAGGGTCACAACGAACAGGCAAAGGTCACGTCCCACAGACCCAAGCAGCAGGCACACCAAGGAAAACCAAGGAAGGGTACCGGGCCTCAACATTCTGAAGCAAACATGCCGCGGACAGCCAGTACCGGGTCCACGTCAAGTCAAGAGAAGCAGAGGCTGGGACGAGTCAAGGCTCAGTCCAAGTCAATAAAAGGACTGGCCAGCCCCATTTTGGACAGATTGCGCATTCACAAGAAGTGTGAAAGTGCTGCTGAGGCGCTTGTGCGCTGTCTGCGAGTAGCTGGCGCTAGGGCGCTGGCTGGGCAGCGCTGGCCTGAAGAAGGCAGGCAGGCATAGTCGCACAGCTAGTAGTCGTGGATAGGGCTGAGTAGTGGAGGATGTATTCAGAGTCAAGATCCTCAAGTAGACACAGAGATAGAGAGAGAGGGAGAGAGTGAGCGCATGCATAGAGAAGAGGGACACAGAGAACAGAGAGGAGAGAGTAGCCTACCTTGGATGAGGATACTGGACATGGGTTGCTGAACACTGCGCTGTCGAGCTCTGACACTGTTTACTATGACCATTTGTTGCCATTTCTAAGCTGCGCTTATCTTCACTTTCCATCTCTGGTCTCCAGTGTGGTTCTCATGTGATCTCTCAATGTCTGTGTGTCTCTGTGTGTGTGTGTGTGTGTGTGTGTGTGTGTGTGTGTGTGTGTGTGTGTGTGTGTGTGTGCTCAAGGTGACAAACAGTGAGGTTCAATGCAATTAGATGGATTAAGATAGAAAAAAATTAAATAAATACATGAACAAAATGTGTATTTTTTTCTTCTCACTCTTCCAGTGCACCAAAACTTCTCTGTTTAGATCGATAGATTGGATAAGATTAGATTAGATCAGATTAGGTAAGATTAGATCAGATTAGATAAGGATTAGAGACAAGATTGGGATAGAACAGAAACGTGAAGCTCATTCTTTTGCCAAAACAGAGAAATGTAACTCCGGGTGTGTAACAAGACATTAAAGGACATGCTCGCACAACGCCTTTGTCGACTGACTTGTGGGGGCAATTGCGGTCACATGCGTCCAGAACTGGCGGCAATTGCGGCCAGATACATCCAGGGGAAAGTCCTAGTGAGAGTATGCGCTGAAACACAAAGGTAAACAGCCAGTGAAAACAGCAGGAAGAGGGACAGCAGAAAGCACCACAGGAACTGCTCTCGCGGATATAGATTAAAAAGAGACGGTAAATTGATCTGCCTTCCAAGCAGGGGATATGGGTTCGATTCCCGTCATCCGCAATTGCTTTTGATAAATTTTCCTTTGATGAAAAAAAAAAAAAAAAAAAAAGCTTAGAAATTGAAATTGCACGTATCAAAATTTAAAACTTGTCGATAAATCTTGGAAAATGTTTGCCTACTTCGTCGACTTGCTCTTTGTGGTTTGCTGCCCTCCAAACAATCAATATATCAATTAGCCAACTCACAACTGAGCAGTCGTTTTCTTTTTTCCTCTTTTTCCTCTTTTTCTCTTTTTCTTTTTTTTTCTCTTTTTCTCTTTTTCTCTTTTTCTCTTTTTCTTCTACTTATAACAGAGACTAAGTAGCATAGTAATGTCATGTCGTGGAGTTTCCACGCAGAATAACACCATGAAGAGCGAGTGGATCGACAAAGTTAGAAAAACAAAATCGATTGACGGAAGTAAAAAATTATCAATTAGATAGGTGTCCGACCCAGAAACCTCCATACGTTCCACAAATCAGATGCGCGACCGCTTCTACTAACATTCCGGAACGTCAGCAGTCGCGGTTAGAGCACAACTCAAAGAGAAATGGCACCGCCAGATCCAATCACTTCCCACCCTTCTCCAACAAACTCTTGCAGAGCCCAGAATATTGAACATCCCCACCCTTCCCATCCCAACCCCAAGGGGGAAGCAGAGGGGGAAAGGGGAGGGAGGCGAAGGGGAAAAGGGGGGAGTAGGGGGAATGGGGGGGAGCAGAGGGAA